CACTACCTCTTTGAAAATAGTAAAGAGATGCGTGGTTAGAAATGGACATTGCGCTCCTTCGCACTTTATAATCACAATACCGCTACTAATACTAAACTCAATAGTCCTCTAAACCATTGGATTCTTCGTGAGCAGAGCTATCCAGTGGTATAACTTTCGAATGACCTAATCCATTTGTTCACGAGTTATGGCGAGGCGACGGTTGCGACGGACTGACTGCGTCGCATTTCGTCGATTGAACAAAAATTAGTAGCGGTATTGTATTTACGTATATGAGTGAAGGGTAGGTATAGAACAGTGAGAAAATGAAGAGCGCTTCGCTGTTCTTATGTCCCTCTGTCACGAAACTCAAAGTCCCCCGAAAAACCACTTCTGTAGCTTTCCGTGGACAGAGTGTATATTATCAGAAATTGCAGGGTTCAGAACAACCAGCGGTGTTCAGTGTTGCGTCCAGCAGAGACTCCAACTGAGGAATCTAAGAGCAAAACAGAGGTAATACTTCTTTTTGAAATGCTGGATCAGTCGACAAAAATGACGGGATGTTCTGGTCAGAGGGTTTAGCAGCCTTGTAATGTATTGCTCGCCTTACAGTACTTACATTGGCCACGCGGATATTGGATAGTTTTTTGGCACGAACTATTGATTATTGTCCTGATGAGAGCAGACAATCTATTAATTAATATTTATTAATGCTAATATTTTGATAGGATCTGTGCTTCGGGTTCTTCGAGTCGGTAGGAATATCGAGTGAGAGCCGAAGTGTGCCGAAACTATTGCGAATAACTCGTGCAGGGATCTGCAAATGGCTGCTTCATAATAGGTACACTAGGAATAGGTCCAATCGAGGAAACCTACTATTGATTAGACAACTATTGGTCCTTAAGGAGACGAACAGAGCCAGGAGCCAGAGAGCGGAAGCCAGAAGTAGGAAGCCCTGCGAGCCATCCTGGGAGGCTTATATACACTGCCGACAGTCTCAGTCTGCAGCTGAGACTTTAAATAGTCATCTCCTCAACGGCAGCTGGCTAGCGAAAAACATACTCTGAAAGCATTCTGAAAACGTTCTAATGATAACGAATCTAAAGTAATTATACATAATGCTGATAAGTTTTTTCTAACCATATATGTATACAGGTAGCGTAGCTGCAAAGGGTCAACACATCTGAATTGCCAACCATTCCTTATGATATTTCAAGACATCAACTTCGAGGCACGAATCGGGATCGAGTTTGGATATTTTTGTGCGTGGAAATAAGTACAAAAATGCGAAGCGGAACGCCCTTCAAAAAACGCAAAAAGAAATCGCAGATAAGGCCGAAATCAGAACCCCATGTCAAAGCAGCGAAGGAGTCCGGCTGGGGGAAGCATGTCCGAACGAGTTGTCTGGGCACGCCAGCCATGCTGGCTCCGTGTGAGCAGCGGACAGGCAATCGAGCACTCTGCCCCTGCTTCCAAGCCCCATGCCAGCCAGGCGCCACTTTCCGCGGTAGGCGGTAATAACCAACGCCAGGCTGCCATAGCACTAAATTCTACGCCAGGGGCGTTATTATCGCGCTGCTGGGTCAGGAGCCACCTCTGTGGTTGCAGACTCAGCTATAGTAGCATTTGACCGCCTGATCCCGACATGCCTTTAATTATGGATTGCAACCAAACAAGTATTCCTCTTTCTTCTTCAGGTATCACCTCCAGAAAAGAGTAGTAAACATCGAAGCGCTTCTCGTAGCAAGGTGAGGTGATCATATACTGTTGGGATTTGCTAAATTCTCGTTTCTTTTCATCACAACACTACAGCTGCCTTGGTCAGCGAATACATTCTTAAGATAGTCGAGAGAAGCAGGTCACGGAAGAAAAGGGCAAAAGAAGGCAGTGGGAAGGAGAAAACATCTGACAGAAAATCGAAAAAAGACCATCACAGTATTGTAAAGTCGAGATCCAAGCACAGGTCCTTCCTTCTAAAGGTAACTTTGTCATCGTTGTCGTGTACTTTCGAATCGAATGGCTCCGATGGATTTTTGTAATAAAATAATTACAGAAATCAAAAATCTCTGCTAAATCGAGAAGAGAATAGCGCCCTTCAACGTCAAGGTGAGTTGGCTCCCTTCGGAATAGGATACAACTATCAGGTCATAAGAAGGCAAGATAGCCAGCGTGGCTAAATAGTTTTCGCCACATTTTGAAACCTTTCCGGTTTCGAAGCTGCCTTGTGCAACAACGATGCGGAAGCAGTCGACTTCCATTTTTCAGTGCCTCCCGTTATCTTTGGCAGCTATGGCATCGGTTATCCTTCCTTACATAAGCCACCAGTTATATTACTCGGGAGCTGACGAAAGCTGTCATTCTCTGCGTATGCTTACGCCCTCCACCATTGTGAGGTAAATAACTCATGGGCAGGAAGCAGGCATGAAATGCGTACCTGGAACAGTTGAGAAATTTATCGCTTAATCATGGCACGACGTGAAATGACACTTCGGCATTGAACCTCGAATCCGTTGGCGGATTTCGCTCTTCCTATTCTCCCCACCCTCATCCTCCATCCTCCTCTCGTTACCGGCAATACCATGAGGAATAGTCGAAACTATGCCCATGATTGTTGAAATAACAGTTGGAGTGTCCTATCAAAACAATTACCTCACGTCAGAATAATACCCTAACACTGATTTGAGATTTTTGTTGATCAGAGAAGTCACGCTGCAGTGGCAGGGCGAAAGCTTAATCGCCCGTGCGTTGCTGGCATGAAGGTACCCTCTGTTTCCGAGGTTATGGCGTGCAGCCACACGCCACAAGTGACGACATCATCCAAGTAAATCTGGTAATAGTGGTTCAAGTGGTAGATGATAAATGATAGTTGTAATTAGTGACAACTGATAGAATACAACTGCAACAGGCTAATTTCATTGGCAATAATTACATTTGGTGAAGGCCGTCGTCACTTGCGTTGCATGGTCTGCACTCGACAAACATCTAGTTTTCGGAAACACGGTATAGGACACGAAATGAAACTCGTATCCATCCAGGCTCATTTTGCTTGAGTAAAATACGGCAGGCTTTTTCTTCTTTCGCCTTCCAATTTTTTTCCTACATAAAGAGCTGAATTGGTATTCCAGAAAGCGCGTCAGTGCGTCGCGCATTGTACGTGGCTGCGGCAGGAACATCATAATCACGCTGCGCTCACTGTGTCTGAACGCCTTAAGCCGTTTACTAATGGAATGAAATGTTCGCGCAACGTGGGCCTCATACCAACACCCGCCCTCCTTTCCTTTCCCTTCGCCTAGGCGAGAGCTGCGCCTGTTGCAACTGTGTCTGAGAAAATAGATAGTCTGGTCAGAGTAAGAAACAGATGGTCATACAACAGGAGGCCCGTCGAGAAAGCGGAGACGCAGACGGGTCGGCAGACGAGTCGCAGCGCGCGCCGTGTGATATGGAGGTACCGCAGCACATTTTATTTAATTTGGCGCGAATCACTGCAGTACGCGCTTCGACTCGTCCGCTGACCCCTCTGCGTCTCTGCCTTCCCGCCGCGCAACGCCTCATGCCGGCT